GCTTCCCTTTCAGAGCTTTCTAACCTAAAACATTCCAAGTGTTTTTTGTCGTTTGTTGTGTTTTTTTCCAAGGAGAAACAACGAAATCCCTCGTGAAATAAGTCTGCAAAGCTAAAATTTTCAGAATAGAAAAAAAAATAGAATCACTGAAGGGTTTTTCCTCGCCGAAAGAAGAACATTTACTTTTAAAAATAGATCAACTTGACCTAGGGGAATATTACGAGTGAGAGGTCGATATGGGACCGATGACCCTTTTTCACGAGTGGCATCATCAAACTTATAGTTACACTAACGGGTTATTGCTGATTCGTCTTTTGACACAGTACATCACTTTTAACTAAAGAATTGACGTAGGCTACCCTGATTTTCTCCCACAAACTTCACTATGTTTGAATCCTTCCTTGGTGGGTTTATCCTTCAGATAAACTGGCCCCGCGGAAAATTGCATTTTTGAAATAGAAAAATTGCAAGGTAAACCGTTTAAAAATTGCAAAAAATTGCAACCTTCCCATCCCAGGCGCATTAATACGGGCTTAACATTTTTAGTTTTAAAAACATGACAATTTTGAGTACCGGTAGCATAAAAGCAGCACAGCCTTTTAAAAAATTATGACAAACAATACAAATTCATCAAATGTTATTAACAATATTTACTAGTAACAACACACGAGTACGTTAACAATAAAGTTATTGACCAAATATAATATAATAACGCGTGACACAAAATAACGGAACCCTCGGTTTTCGTAATAACTTTTAAATGAAGGCATAAAATTTGACCAAATTTATTACATAGCGGGTACTTGGTTCATGCAAAAATCTAGAAGTGTATGAGGTTTAGTCTATTAAAAAAAAAATTGACGAGAGATTTTCCAAACAACCTCTAAATACAAAATAAGCTTATGCTCCAATCAAATCAGATCCTATTCTATTTTTCTCTTGACACCTTCGATACAGTTAACAGCGGTAATCTGTATTTAGATCTGTTTCAGATATTTTCTGTTTTAAAACCGGCATGGTATTGTTTTAACACTAAGTCAAATCGTAAAATACAGCAATTTTCCCCCCATTTATAAACAATAGTAATACATGTACTAATGTAGATCTAGATCATTTCGATAGCACCCACTCCCGCAGCTTAATAAGGCGTTTTACATAACGGGGTGTTTACGTACACGGTACCCGGGGTCCTAGCCTCCGTGTCTACGTACACGTCAACCGGGCACGTAGTCTTAGTATCACGTACACGGTAACCGGGCAGTTCAGAATTCCAAGTTCATGTCTTTGTCATCCGGTGTTGCCTTCAACTCCAGTCCTCCCCCGACAGTACATTTTTTTTAAAAATCGATAATTCTCCCATTTCGGAGCCCTATACTTCGTAGCGCACTGACTTTGAATGAACTTCGGTGACCCCAACCGGTACTCACAGTGTGATGCGAAAGCACAGGTTCACTGACCGGTAACGATGGCGAGCCCGACAAGACGCGAGTATAACTTTCTTTTTTAATTTAAACAAGTGACAGCACAGGACAAATATTGGTTAATTTTCATTCCGGTGGGTTATCGTGCACGTAGATACTGAGACTGGGTGCCCGGTTACCGTGTATGTAGACACATGCATCATGTACGAACAATATTCACGCGCATGCACTCACACGCACACACACTCACGTACACCTCACACACCTACTTTCTTATCACTAATATCACACGTGCACGCTTACACTTACACACATTAGATAAAGGTCTAGCCTAGAGAAGGCCACCTTTTCGGCCTAGCCTATGTCTCAGTTCGTGTTGTACCAAAGATAGTACATAACAAGATGGGCCACTTCTCTCTTTGAGTCAATTAAAAAAAGTGTCCTCAAAATTTGGTGGCGCCCTCTTCACAAAAGCGCACTCTTTGCGAACAGAGTTACCCTACTTGAATTTTTAAAAATCAAAGTAAAACTAGCAAGTTTTGGGGTAAATTTCGGAAGAACGCTTTTTTTAAATGGTTACGCTGACAAAAAACCTCTTTCGGAGGAAAGGGTGATGGTTTTCTTCGTTTAATTTGACTTAAGAATGAAAGGCGAGAGGTCATTAAAATGTTTAAAAACCCTAAAACTCCGCACTGAACGTACCCGAACTGCTGATGAACAGCAGTCGATCTGCGCACGCAAGGAGGTGCTATTCCTATTCTTCTTCTGGAAAAACGAAAGAGAGCTTCAAAACAGACTGCAGCGCCATCTGAAGCAAAGAGCATACTTCCTGCGGACACTTTTTTGGCTGAGTGGCCCATCTTGTTATTTACTATCTTTGGATTTACGTAGGCCTGTCGGCTCTGTACTCGCACCATTTCGTATTAAAAATTCTGTTAAAATTAAAGCGTTGATGTATTTTTGCCTAAAATTGCAAGAATTTGCGAAGATTGCAAAAAATTGCGGGTTTATTGCGGAACTCGACGAAAAACGCGGCCGCAAGACCGCGATTTCCTGGAGGGCCAGGATAAACCTTGAATCGGGAATGGCATTTGAAGTACATGTACACCGTGGCTTCGTCAATACAATATACTGCTATGGTTTTCATAGTTTTTTGACTTTCCTTTGAAGACACGAGATACATTAAATGGCTTTATCTTTTGAATGTCATGATAAAGCTCTCCGTAGTGCACTGGCGCGGTGTTGTTTGAAAAATGAAACGGAAAGCGAGAACTGCAAAGAAACGTTTTCTTTCCATGATGTACCGGTACATAATTATAGCAGAAAGAAAAGTGCAAATCTGGGCTTCAAGTTCAGCGGTTGTAGAGAGACATTATATGGGAGAGACTATACCCATGTGAACGAAAATAGACATTAAATAACAAAAGAATCATTTCATTTCTACAAGGTTATCTGGTTTCCTGATTTTGCAACGTAAACGACTTGATAAGGTTTTATTTTGCAGGTCTTTGCCATTGATCCCCTCTCCTTTTTCTCGTTTTGTTTCAGTTTTTTTTAAATAAAAGTTTATCGACACATGTATACTGATCAGTCAGTTAAATATCTAATGCTCCATGTTTGGGTTGTGAGACTTTGATTCCACCTAGTACCACTCAATTGAGACGTGCAGTGAAGGTTGTTTGTGTTTCAAGCCCACAGCATTTTATCTTCCAATCCTTATACTTATTCTTGTTACTTTTTTTGTCTTGCTATATTCTCCTTCACAACTTTACAGCCACGTCGCTCTCCATATCGTAATTTCAACAGTTCTATTGTCTGTCCTCTGATCATCACTGTCTACGCATTCTATTCTCACATATAATCGGTTCACTAGGGGTCGCTTCTTCTTTAGCAAAATCTATTCTAATGGTTAGGCTTATGTTTTATCGTCAACCGCATAGTAGTAATCTCTTCCGAATCGCTATGACCTTGTTTTGTTTTAACGTCATCTTCATCATTCGATCTTTCTATGTATGTAGAATCTATGACTCCTTTGAGAGTGAGTCTCCTAAAATATCTCAGGAACGCTCTCGAAAGCGACCTTAGAAATTCGCCTTTAAATCTAAAGGTGTTCAAACAAGGCAACTTCTGAAAGCAAGAAACAATTCCAAAATGGCATCTGAATAGATCTACTTTTTGAAAGTTTGAGAGTGAAAAACAAAAAACCAAGCTCTTTGTTGCATGCACAACTGTCTGCGTGCCAGGGTGGCGTGCGGTGAGGAGAAAGGTTGTACAAAGAAGGAACGCTACGCATTGAAGTGGGGTGAAAAGCAGTACGCCAACGTGGAGCGCCGCCAGGCGAAGGGTTAAAATAGACCTAAGTCTGCACAGAGTTTACCTTAAAAGGTTCAAAAGTGAGATTTTATAAATAATTTAAGCAGAACACTTTTGTATGACAAAAATATTCATAGATCTAGTAAAGAAATTTATGACATACCACAAGCATAAAACAAACTTATGGTAAGATACAACAAAAGTGTGACTTACTTTTAAAGAAAACCCTTCATATTGGACCATTTTCTAGCCCATGATCTATAACTACCGTATAGGTTATTTCTCTTATCCACATGATTTCTGTGTCTATTTCCTCTCATTTCATTTAGTCACATTCCTTAGACCCAGAAATATTGCAATACATAATATTAATATGTAGGCCTACAATGTATTAAGAAAAAATGATAAGAAATTTGTATCACAAGTTTTATTTTATTCTACTTTATAACTTTTCAGTACCCAAAATCTCTAATCCTGTCTCTAAACATAAAAAAATGTATTCAAACTTTAAAATCAACTGTGTGGCAATGGTACATCACAACTGGCTTTCAGATGTCTCATGGGGGGCTCTCGTGGCCTAGAGGTTAAAGTGTTGGCCTCTCATTCAAAGGTCGCGGGTTCGAATCCGGGTAGCGACCAAAAAATTTTCTTCTCTAAAATTGTCTCCTTTCACCTACTTTCCTGCTCTCTAGCAATGTTCTGTTGTCTGCTTTCATTTCCACTTTCTGCCCCCACCCCCTCACCTCCCTAGCCCCCTTCTCTGGGCTCCTGACTCTTTTTGCAGCCTTGCTACTGCTACTCCTTGGCTCCTCCTTACTGCTGTCTTTCTGCCACACCCCTGATCTTCTGGTAGGAAAGTTCTACACCTAACCTTCTCGAACAAGGGCGAAAAATCTCGGAGGGCCCGTGTGCAACTTGCACACGTTAAAGATCCCTTGGTGGTCTAAAATCGATAAGAGTAGGTTTCCGCCGCCACACGGGCAAAATTCAAAATTTCCTACCAACTGAAAGTATTAGGTGTGTCCCGCGCGCTCATATGACCTTATGCAGTTTAAGCGCCATAAAACACTTTACAAAAACAAAAACAAAAGATGTCTCATAACATATGTAATCATTTGCTTCTTAGAGTGAGTCTTTTCCTCTTTCCTCATCCCCTTTTCACCCAAGGCAAACATTTTCTTGTACTGTACTACATAACTCAAAGTAACATGATATGAGTCTTCTTACGCAGTCACACATGAATTATTAATAAATCAAAGAAACACATTTGAAAGTTTTCACATTTTAATATGACTTGGTACATTCTGCACCAAAATTTTGAAATGGTAACAATAAATACCTCATAAGACCACATGTAAAGTGCTCATACACAAAATGTAAACAGTTGACCTTTAACCTTGCTCTACAGCAGAGGGCAAAAAGTGTCTTGCTCTTTTCAACAACATCAAACAAAATCTTCCACAAATGCCAAGACTATAAAGGCTTCCAAAAGAATCAAATCTGATAAATGCGACGAAAAGTCAAAGATGAATGAAATTGAAAAAATCAAAAGCTTAACTCTCTTTCTTTCTCTCCCACATACAAAATTACATTTGCAACATACATGAGTTCTTCTTAGCTCCATTTCTTTTACCACACTTGTACCTCTCTTTTGCACACCGGTAACCCAAAGGTAAGCCATGTTCTCCGCCTGTCTCTCAATGACGAGCACACACAAACACATTTAAGCACACATATGCAAAAAAATAACTGCTGAAAATGTACAATGCATTGAATGCACCCAATACTCCATTTGCTATACCCCCACCATAGAGTTACGACAAAATATTAAAAACTCGGTTGGAAATGAAACAAAAATCTACTGTGTAGCTTTCGTCTTCTTTCTACCTCTGGCTGCTTTCTTGTCTTTTTTCTTTAGTCCATCCATGCTGCCCTTCAGTAGATTTCCATAGGCCTGGCAAAAAGATTGTTATTTCGATTAATACAGAAAACATGATTAAGACGAAGCTCGTCAGAAATAAGAGTGTATAATGACAGAGGAGATGAAATCATGTAGCCTATCTATAGCACATTTCTTTCATATACCCCCAAAAATGATCTGATACAATTTCAACATTTTGCCTGTTAAAAAATCCTTGATTCAACTGAAAAACTTGGGAGTCACAAAACACCTTCTATCTCAGTAAAAGCTTCGACAAATATAGTCTATTTTAACTAAATGACTAAAATTAAAGTGGGAAAATATACAACATTTATTAATGATACAGAAACTGTTTCAGTTGTTCTAAAATGGGCAAGGAAGGCTGGTGCATGTACCATACATAGTGAAATGCACTCAGTGAACAGATTTTCAGGTCCTGAATTTTCTCTTATAATCATATATAGCCTACAGTTGAGTCGGCTTATATTAAAATCTGCGTGACCGTCAATTTTTCATTGTTTCTTGTTCAGAGAGGATTGTTCAAATAGCGATCACTGTTAGCAGCGTAAAATTGGGATGCCATGCTTGCGGCTTGTCACATTGTGCATTCTCTGTGACATTGTCAGTGTGCTTAATCTGTCAGTCACACAGAAAAGTCAAAAGAGTAGATCAGCACACTGTACTGTGCTCTGCGCTAGTCTTGAGAAGTGAGAAAGCCCAATGCCAGTGACGACATGAAACAAACCACATGTCGTCACAGGCTTAAACAGGTGAAGGGCTTACGTAAACTAACTTTACAGAGACAATAGGCCATGAACAAACGAAGGTCACATGACAGATGTGTGTGATAAACACAGGCAAACAGTACTCTGATGATGCCCCTCTCAAGCCCAAAATCAATACACATGCATTCTTGTCTTGTTACTCTCGTCTTGTTTTCTTGAAACACGCAAGACTTGATGATATGCCTTATGTGAGGATTGCTAGTTAAGAGTTAGACAACATAATCTTCTCAATTCTTTTCTGTTTAGAGATGGGAACATTTCGGCTAATCGATAGTTTTCATATAAAAATGAAGAGGGATAAAAAATATCAGGGATTGGTTTATTTGCTTTCGGTTTACCACCGTTTTCAGATTAACTGTATTTGGTTAAAGTGGATTTGATTGTACACTCTTTACATTAAAACACTTATGTAGCGAAATTCAGACATAATGAAGAGATTTCCCAACCCCATCAATTTTGCTATGGATGTGCTAGATGTAAATCTTCTGAATTTTTTAGACAACACCTCAAACTTCTTCCTGTCGTAACAATACTTCAACTCTGCCTACTGTATTCGTCCCACCTCGAATCAGACAAAACTCATCATCATTGAAAGAAAATTTTTTTTCTCCCTTTTTACCAATGGCAGAGATCAATGTACATACCATTTGAAATTTGGTGACATCCTTGTGGTTTACCTGAAAAAGAGAAAGAACAGATACTCTGATCAGGCCTTTTTGAATATTTAAGTACTGCAACAGACAGGAATAATTGAATCATGACAGGTGAATAAATTATGACGTCTTATTCACAGCTTCAGGGCCAATTAATCTTTTAAAAAAAAGTCGAGCAATGAGAGATTTGTGTGATCATCTTAAACAGTTTTTTATATTTTGGTCTTTGGCTGATAAAATACAGTGGTCACGTTGGACAGGTTCATTGTATGCAGAGCTATATTTATATTTTAAAAATGCAGGGGAGAAAATGGAACATGGCTGTTTGTACAGGTGGCCATCATGGTAAGTCATGGTAACAAAAATTATTTTTTTTTAAATCTCAACCAGACAGATAGTACTGAAAACATAAAAATGCTTTCTCCCTCTCACCTTTGCAGTTAATGTGATAACTTCACCTTCTCATTAATTTTCATATGATGAAACTTGTACTCCAGACAAAGCTAAAAAATTTATGGTCTGAGTACAACACGGACGTCATTATTATTTCATTTCTATCTCATACAGGTGTTACAAGTACTTGACAACATGAAATAAGGAAAGAAAACAGATGGTAAAAAATCTTTCACAAAGGAAAAGACTAAAAAAATTAGCAGAAAAATTAATGGAAAAGATGATCACCATACCAACCAACACGGAGGACACTGTACACACAAAACAAGTTTGTGAGTGTGAAACAAACAATATCATAACCTTCACTTAAACATTAAATCCAATTTGAAAAAAGCACCCACCAAACAAGACAAAATACACAAGAAATAAACAGCTCTCTGGGGCTGCCCTTGTGGTGAAAAGTGTGTGCCAACTGCCTCCTCCATAAAGGTCTTCAAGAATCAAAGTCACAATTTTTATGAATTGGAAATGGGGATTCTTAGTCTGCAAAGGCTTAGGCTTCTTCCCTATCATACCAAAGTACCTGATATGACCCTATGTTCATGATGGCTCAGTCTGAACACTATAATTATTTTTTTGCTCAGGATACCCAAAACCATTATCCCAGGACTGCTGAGGGAAAAAAAGTAACCAAGGCCTCTCTGTAAAGTTCAACAGGCTCAGAGGTGTATGTTGCCACTGAAACAGATGGCTTTTAAAATCAAAGAGCAGGCCAGTCCCGACAAAACTCCAAATCAATCCATTAACAAAGTGGAGAAACTCTCTGGCCTGTAAAGATGACGATAAAATTAAAAAATGGCTACGGAAGGCTTCTTGAAGAAAAGTTATCTGTTAAATCAGTTGAGCTGTTGGCTGCACAACATTCAGTCAACTAGTAGTAGTAGTAGTAGTATAAGGTTTTACGGTGCTCGCAACTGCTAAGGTCATATGAGCGCGCGAAACACAAGTTGTTCACCTCTGCGAAAGTTCACTTCACGACTGGTAACTAATTTACTTTAAAATGCTAAAAAGTTAAAATATTCAAATTCGGTGTAAATACATTTGTGATCTAA